GGTTTTCCAACCCAAAAAGCAGCGAAATGAGGCTCCAGTGAGGATGGGGGAAGGATAAATCAGGGATGGGAACACGGAGCATCCCAGCCTTTCCCACCAGGAATGTGGTGTCTGGAATACCAGAGCTACCAGGGAATTGTGACCCTGCCAGGCTGGCAACACCTCTGGAAAATGTTACACATAAATAAAGAAAAAATTCTAATTAATTAAAATAGATTTAATTTAAAATATGCTTACAAGTCCCTTAATTATAATTTATAATTATAATCCCAAATCCCATCTGGAACAGCCATGCTTATTTGAATATCCACTGGAATATGCAAATTTTATTCTAATTAACCCAGAGCAGTTGGTCACAAGACCAAGAATTTCATCCACATCCCTTTCCAGCCCCTTCAAATGAAACTCCCCAGCCCCCACTGCTGGAATTCCACTAAAGAACTCAACTTCCAGGAATAGCCTGGATTTTTATTTTCCCTGCACGCATTCAGAGTAGATGGATCCAGCCACGTTCATGGAGATTCCTGCCCATTTCATTTTTTACAAAAAGAAACTCAAATTCCTGATCAAATTTCCCAGTGTTCGTGTGTGGAATGTTCAATTTCTGATTAAATGACAGCAGGATTCCATTCAATACATTCACTGGGATACTCCCCATGGATATGCACCAATATTCCCCCAAAATCTGGAGCTGAAATGGAAGGAAATGGCTGAGCCCTCCTAAAATCCTTCAGCTCGAAATCGAAAATATTTTGGAACTTTCATTGATTATTTTGCTATTACTTTCACACGAAAATCTAAAATGGAATTGAAATAGATATTTAAAACATTCCAATGGAATTTTTGGACAAACAAGCCACTTTTTTCCCTGGTTTTATTTACCTGGTTCCCTCCCATGCCGTGGCAGTTGAAAAATCCCACTTTTTCATTCTCCTTGCGGCCCATGTTGTCCAAGCATTGGTTGGTTTCAACATTCCTGATCTGGAGAAAGGAAAGGGGTGAAACATTCCTTAAAACATTCCCTGGACCTGCCAGATTTTGGTGCAGAAAATTGCAATTTGTAAGCAGACCACATTCCCAAATAGTCATGGAATGGTTTGGGGCCCCCAAGCTCATCCATGGCCAGGGACACCTCTCACTATTCCATGAGGGAATTCAGGATGGTTACCCCAAATCTGTCAAAATCCCCATTTTTTTCTGCCTGTTTATCTCAGAAAAAAACCAAAATATCCACTTGGGAAATGCAGCCTGAGGCCTGGTGCTGCCCACCTTTGATTTCCACCATTTTCCTTGGATTTGAGCCCAGGAGGAGCCATCCAGGGCAGGACTTGGATCATTTCTGCCCTAACGATTCTGCTCCAGCTTGGGCAGCTCAAATCCTGCCCAAATCTCCTGTGAAAGGCAGGAAAATATCCCAAAAAAAAATCCAATTCTAATGCCTTAAAAAATTCCCCATTTCTCTGCTGCTCGCTGGGCTTTAATTCCCTTTTCCTGCTCCACTGGAACAGCCAAGCAGGGCTCGAATTCCCAGCTCCTGCCTGAGCTGCTGTTTCCATGGGAACTGAGGCCACACAAATCAGGTGTTTTAATCACTATTTTCTGCCTTCCTCATCCCATTTTCCAGCCTGACAACGTGGCACAATCCCACTTTATTTGACATTCCCTAGACAAGTCCTTTCCTCGCTGGAAATCCCCATTTCCCTTTATTTTGGCAGGATTAAACCTGAAATCCTCCAGTGCTTTTTATTCCTGCCTACAATGGCAATTTTCAATGGGAAATCACTTCCCTGGATGTCAAAAAAAAAAAAAAAAAAAAAAAAAAAAGCCATTTGTTCCTTGGAGTGTTATTCCAGGATTGTTATTCCATCATCAAATCCTTTGATTGTTATTCCATCCTCATCAAAGCCATTCCAGAGATTTTAAAAGGCAGCAGAGGAACGACTCAATGTAATATTTTTAACGGTGAATTTGTTGAATTTGAAAGAAATTCCAGCTCCTGGTGGCCCCAGAACTTTGGGATTACCAGGAATGTCCATGATCCTCAACTCCAGGCTGGAAAACACTCAGTGACCAAACATTCCTTAAAAAAAAAAAAAAATCCCAAAAAAGCCATTTTTAGTCTCTTTCTAAGCAATAAATGATGATGGAAGGTTCCCCTCAAGGGCTGCGTGTTCATTGTGTCAAAACATTAATCCCAAACTTCACTTTTCCAGTCTCCTGCTCCATTTGGGAGATAAATTTGCCTGGTGAACATTTGGAATAGACACTTGATTCAAAGGGGGATTTTTTTTTAGGAAAAAGGAATATGTTTGGAACAGCAACTTCTCCTTGCAAAGGATTTATAAAAATGGAAATCAAGAAAAATGTGGGATCAAGAGGAAGAAGAGACAAGGAGGGAACTCCAGCACGTGAGGCTTGGCCCCAAAGCCAACTCATCCCCTCGGGAATGGATCCATTGGCTCTGGACACCTCCAGCTTCCCAGTACAACTGGTTCCCAGTACAAATGGTTCCCAGTACAACTGGTTTCCTGTACTTATTGGTGTCCTGGATTTACTGGTTTTCCTTACTAACTGGTTTCCAGTACTACTGGTTTTTCCCTTACTCACTGATTTCCCCTACTACTGGTTCCCTTTACTGGTTTCCTGCATTGCTGATTTCCTTTACTTACTGGTTTCCAGTACTTACTGGTTTGCTGTAGTTACTGGCTCCCTTTATTTACTGGTTTCATTTATTTACTGGTTTGCTGCACTTCTTGATGTCCTGGATTTACTGGGTTTCCAGCTCTTACTGGTTTCCTGTACTACTGGTTTTTCCTTTACTCACTGATTTCCCCTACTACTGGTTCCCTTTACTGGTTTCCTGAATCGCTGATTTCCTTTACTTACTGGTTTCCAGTACTTACAGGTTTCCTGAATTTACTGGTTTCCTTTATTTCCAGGTTTCCTGTACTTACTGGTTTCATTTATTTACTGGTTTCCTCCACTTCTTGGTGTCCTGGATTACTGGTTTTCCTTACTAACTGGTTTCCAGTACTACTGGTTTTTCCTTTACCCACTGGTTCCCTTTACTGGTTCCCTGCACTGCTGGTTTCCTTTATTTACTGGTTTCCTGGATTTACTGGATTTCCTTACAAACTGGTTTCCAGTTCTTTCTGGTTTCCTGTACTACTGTTTTTTCTTTTATTCACTGGTTTCCAGTACTACTGGTTTTCCTTACCTACTGGTTTCCTGGATTTACAGCTGTCATTTACTTACTGGTTCCCTTTATTTACTGGTTTGTTGCATTTCTTGGCGTCCTGGATTTACTGGTTTTCTTTCCTTGCTGGTTTGCTGTGGTTACTGGTTACCTGTAAGATTGCTTTCCTTTGCTTACTGGTTTCCAGTTCTTACTGGTTTCCTTTCTTTCTTGGCTTTCCTGCTTTCCTAGACTTCCTGCTTTGTTGTAGTCCCTGTTTCCCTGGACTTACTGGTTTCCTTTACTTACTGGTTTCCAGTTCTTGCTTTACTGGTTTATCCTACTCTGGGTTTCCTGTACTTATTCATTTCCTTTAATTCCTGGTTTCCTGCAATTCCTGGTTTCTTTTCTTTCCTGGTTTCCTGCAATTCTCAGTTTCCTCTCTATCCTGGCTTCCTGCAATTCCTGGTTTCCTTTCTATCTTGGTTTCCTGCAATTCCCAATTTCCTCTCTATCCTGGTTTCCTTAATTTCCTGGTTTCCTGCAATTCCCAGTTTCCTCTCTTTCCTGGTTTCCTGCAATTCCCAGTTTCCTCTCTATCCTGGTTTCCTTAATTTCCTGGTTTCCTGCAATTCCCAGTTTCCTCTCTATCCTGGCTTCCTGCAATTCCTGGTTTCATCTCAATCCTGGTTTCCTTTCTTTCCTGGTTTCCTTTCTATCTTGGTTTCCTACAATTCCCAGTTTCCTCTCTATCCTGGTTTCCTTTCTTTCCTGGTTTCCTGCAATTCCCAGTTTCCTCTCTATCCTGGTTTCCTTTCTTTCCTGGTTTCCTGTAATTCCCAGTTTCCTTTCTATCCTGGTTTCCTTAATTTCCTGGTTTCCTGCAATTCCCAGTTTCCTCTCTATCCTGGTTTCCTGCAATTCCCAGTTTCCTCTCTATCCTGGTTTCCTTTTTCTCCTGGTTTCCTGCAGTTCCCGTTTCCCATCATTCCCAGTTTATTCCAGGCTCGTACCTCTCCCAGGGAGTAGTAGCGCCGCGGGATCTGCGAGTCGGGGTAGACGTTCTCCAGGTACCAGGAGAAGGGTTTGCACCCCAGGCTCTCCCGCAGGGCTTTCCTGACGGAAACATCTCCATAATCCACCTTCACCACCCCTGGAACGGTGAGACAAGAGCCCAAAAATCCATCAAACATTTTGGGAAAATCCTGGAGTCATCTCCATCTCCTCCACAGGGCTTTCCTGATGGAAACCTCTCCATAATCCACCTTCACCACCCCTGGAATGGTGAGACAAGAGCCCAAAAACATTTGGGGAAAATCCTGGAACTGCCTCCATCTCCTCTGCAGGGCTTTCCTGATGGAAACCTCTCCATAATCCACCTTCACCACCCCTGGAATGGTGAGACAAGATCCCAAAAAACCCATCAAACATTTGGGGAAAATCCTGGAACTGCCTCCAGTTCCCCCACAGGACTTTCCTGGCAGAAAAATCTCCATAATCCACCTTCACCACCCCTGGAATAGCGAGACAAGATCCCAAAAAACCCATCAAACATTTGGGGAAAATCCTGGAACTGCCTCCATCTCCCCTGCAGGGATTTCCTGGCGGAAAAATCTCCATAATCCACATCCACCACCCATGGAATGGCGAGACAAGAGCCCAAAAAACATTTGGGGAAAATCCTGGAGTCATCTCCATCTCCTCCACAGGGCTTTCCTGAAAAAAATCTCCACAATCCACCTTCACCACCCCTGGAATGGCGAGACAGGAACCCAAAAAACATCTCAGCACAAATAAAGATTTTCTTGTTATCCACACAAAAACAGGAGAAGGCACCAATTAAAAATACCCTCAAAACCCCAAAAATGAGAGCTGGGCTCTCCTCCAGCAGAATTCTATTTTCCCAGGGAACAGGATTGCTCCAGACTTTTAATTTGGGATGTAATTATGAGGTGTGCCCCTTATTATGGTGCGAGTTCTATTTCCCGGTGGGAGCAGCTCCTGCTCCTCTCTCCTGGGATGAATCAGCTCCCAGAGGAGCTGTGCCATGAGAACAGAGCCCTCATTACCAACAGGCAAATTCCTTTGTTCTCCCAGAGAATTATCCAGAGATCTCTCTTGTCCTCATTAATAGGAAGGGGAAAGGATCAAAAAGCTGATTAAAAATATTTAGGATTTTTTTTTATATTTAGGCATGCCCTATTTAAAAAAAAAAATCTATTATATCCTACTTGTTTTTATAGAGAATATCCATGAAAAGGTTCATATTATTTCCCTTTCTCCTCCATTTCCTTTTAATGCTGGAGAACCACTTCATTGTATTTTATCTATTAATTAATACAGGTATTAATAAATAACTTGGGAAGAGATCAGGGAATGCAAAGACCACCTATTCCCAAATTCTTCCCCACGGCTGAAATTTTGGATGACAAACCCTTGGCACTGGCAGTGACCTAATTCCACCCTTTCCCTGCAATCCAATTTTCTCCAAGGGATCTGTGTTGGAATTTTGTATCCAAAATTCTGGGAATGTGAAACTGGGAAGAGGAGAGGGCACTTCCAGGAGAACTAAATTCCAGTTGATTTGGGCTCAATCCAGAAGGAAAAAACAGGTTTTCCTTATGGAAAAACAAGGAATAACCTCAAAAAAAATATAAAAAGCAGGTTGGCATTGCATCCTAATTTTTCTGTTTTAAAGGAACAGATTCCTTAAAAATTGATGGGATAAAATTTGTAAGGGAGAGATCCATAAATACAGATTTTTTTTTTTTTAACACTATTATGGGGCACTTAAAATGAGCACAGACTTTTTACATTTCCTGGCTTGTTAAGGGATTTCCAGGATGGATTAGGAATATTCCATGAGCTCATTTCGTGCAGCCACAGGAGAAGTGGCATTCCACGAGCAAAATCCCAGAGATTCTTTGAACTGGGATGAAATGCTGGCTCCTGATATCTTGAATCTCTGGGAAAAATCAAATTCCTGGAGCAGCCTGTGGAAAACAGCAGGAATTCAGGTGGAACAGCTGAGGGATCACACCAGGAAATCACACTGGAGAAGCAGCACAGAACTCACACAGACATTATTGACTTGCCAGGGAAAACTGAAACTGATTCTGCTGCCACGGAATTCCATTGGGAAGGAACTTTGAAGATGGGAAAACGTGAAAATGATCCCAAAAGAAAATAGCACCCACACTTCCATAGTCCATGGATGCTCCCAGCCACATGTGAGGAGGAAAATTCCAGATGTTGTGCCCCAAAGGGTTCGTGTTCCTGCTGGGACCTCTGCTGTCCTTCCCTTGGATTCCTGGGGGATTTTAGGGATAACCTGGGGCCCTCCTGACAAGAGAGACCTTGAGGGGAAGGAGCGTGTCCAGGGAAGGGAATGGAGCTGGGAAGGGGCTGGAGAATTCCTGAGGGAAATGGGAAAGGGGCTGGAGAATTCCTGAGGGAAATGGGAAGGGGCTGGAGAATTCCTGAGGGAAATGGGAAAGGGGCTGGAGAATTCCTGAGGGAAATGGGAAAGGGGCTGGAGAATTCCTGAGGGAAATGGG